CTCACTGCTGCTCCCTCACTGCTGCTCCCTCACTGCTGCTCTCTCACTGCTGCTCCCTCACTGCTGCTCCCTCACTGCTGCTCTCTCAGTTCTGCTCTCTCTGCTGCTCTCCAACTGTTGCTCGCCAATTGTTGCTCTCCAACTGTTCCTGCTTCACTGCTGCTCTCTCATAACTTCCTCCCATGGTTGCTGTTCCTCTCAGCTCTTGCCTCAAATATCAATTTTTTCACAAAGGACTTACTTTCTAATGTATTTTGTTTACTTTATAACGTTTTAGACTTGTTCCACTCATAGTAGTTACTGGCTCCTATCATTTTCTATCTTCATTGATGATTTGATTTGTTGTATATATACCCACCTATCTAAAACTCCAAAGTTAATAAAGTAAGTGTGTGTCTGTTTTTTCAGTATTATATCTTTGGAACCAAAAAAATTCAACGTATATGTTTGTCTACCTGGGCATGTGTAGGTACATATATGATTTTTAGTTGCAACTTTATGAATTATAAGTCTACTTAGATAGCTTTATGTGCTTACCATGATTTAACTTTAACAGATTGAATACTCATTTCACCATATGAAAGATACAGATAACAATACATTGCAGAAGACAGAATAATTTTTATGTCAGTTGTCATTCCAGTGATTTCAATCAGTGTTTTAAGTCAGTAATGGGTGTATAACAATACAGCAAGCATTTAATGAAAATATAAATACTTGTACGAGTGATGTTTTTCATTCATGTATTGTGTTTGTCCAATTTTAGATATTGGAGATATAGTGAAGAAATGAAAACCATGGACCCTGGCTATCCAAAGCCCATCACCATCTGGAAGGGGATCCCTGAATCACCTCAGGGAGCTTTTGTCCACAAAGAAAATGGTACACAGCACACGCACTTCTTAGCTCCTAAGTTTTCTATTTTAATATCATACTGCTTTATGTTAAATGAAATAATTTGAAAATACCATGCTAGAACTATGAATTATGTATATTCATATTTGTAATTCCTATTTATATTTCTTCTTCTTAAGAATGTATGCTTAATATTACTCTCTGGACAGATTTATATTTAATTTATTTATATCTATTTAAATTTATTAGAAGAAAATATAAGTTGTACTTTACTTTTGAGGAGTGGATATTATTTAATGACATGATATACATATCTATTAAAATTCTTGAAAATACGACAAATACGTGTGGGACAGGAATTTGTCCCAAAGACTCTGTCCTGAGTTCAGCCAATTTCAATGGTAGTTTCTGCTAATCCATGCTTACTAAAGATTCCCCTCAACACAGTCAGACTAGAATGAATGTATAGATACCATGATAAAAAACAACATATAAGCCCTACACATTATGTTTGATAATCATAAATCAAAGAAGACAGAGCATTAAGACGATATCTCTAGTTTGCTCTTCAACCACTATCAAAATTTGCTGTTAAGAATTTTCTTCTAATAGTGATTTATTTCAATCCATAAATTTAAAACCAAGTAACCAAATTTTAATATTTTTTCACATTTTGTTTCTAGGTGAAGCATGTCACTTCTAATATCTAAGTATTAGCTTTAATTCTTCCCTTAATCAGTTATGAAATACGACTATCTGATGCCATATGAATGCTTCCAATATAGTTCATAAATTCATTTAATTGTCCAACCAAAGACCTCTTCACCCATACTCAGCTGTGTTAAATAGCTTATTGCTAAACATATTATATATATTCTTAAAACTTGATACAAAAGAATTTAACACATGGATTGTACTTTAGTACACTCTCTACAAAGAAGATGATTGACAAACTTTCCTAACTACATTGATGTAATCATTGACCTGTTGCATCTTTCTAAATTCCTTACTTGGTCCAACTGAGCAAACACTAAATCTAGCTTCCTAAGCAATCATGCTATTAATTTAAATTCTAACTATTGTATTTTTTCTTTTATTGTTGTTGCTGCTGCTGCTTTTACTCTTTACTCTTTTCCTGTCCTAAGTAACTACACTAATCTAAATTCCATTTGTTCATACCAAAGTGATTTCTTCTTAGCCCCCATTCTTCAACTGTATTTTAAAAAGCTTGGTAGGTTTTTAACTATCCTAAAATTATGGCAGAAAATTAGCCTCTCCTTCAAATTATTCCTACATTCCACACAACTGAAATATTTTATTTATTTATTTTTATAAATTTAGTTTAAGTAAATCCAAACTGTTTTTTTTACATTTTGTCTCTTTTTGCTGTTTGAAGTCTCATGCTTAACTGTTGAAGGAGTTCTATGTCTTGATTCTGTTGATTGTATTAATTATGCAACTCACTACTCCCTGTTAAAAATCTCCAAATGCAATTAGGATATGCATTTTGATTCAGCATATGTATAAGATTCATTCTATCCATTAATCTATTTTAGCACTAATTAATACCATGCAAGCAAGCAAATAACAAAGAGGATAAAATAGAACACAGGGTCTCACCAAGGATTGTTCTACCGAGGTAGACTGTCTCGTTACTTTGGGAGGACAAAACAATAGAAAATGATCCAATAAAGTCAAAACAAATATAAATGAAAACAATATTAAAATTACATTGCATTGTCATTGATTTCTTCCTTAAAAGCTTTCCTCATATGAAGCATAACACAGAAATAGAGCAGCAAAGCTACTTTTTAGTAAGTGAAACAGCTGAAAATGTATTCAATTTATATTTCATAAGTGAAGATAAACCTAAATTACTACAGATGATTAGGGCAGAAACAAAATTTGACACGTCTGTTACAAAGTTTTCAGACTACCTCTTTTAGTCCTACTGACCAGCTTTATTATTCTAACAAATATATTCTGTAGTGTAAATTATATTTCCATGCTTGGAGTTTGTTACTGTAAAATTTAAACTCTAGACTGGTCAGTATGGAAGGGGGCCTCTTCTGAACTTTGCTGTGCTATCCATTACCTTTACAGTAATTAGTCTTTGCTAAAAATTAGAGATAAGAACACTTTTAGTTGTTACTCTCCCATTGATAGCCATAAGCAGTACTTTCACCTAATTTGAAAATCTAATTACAAACCAATGACATTTTTTATCTGTGATCATCTCATAGTCTGTTATTTGACAATCATGAGAATTTCTCACGCAAACTTACTGAATAAGTACACTGAGTTTCATTGGAATGATACTAGTTTCCCTGCAGGATAATTTGAGTCTATATGCTTCTGCTTTCATTTAGCAAGTTGCTATAACTGAATAACTCATCTTCAAAGTTGAAAGCCACAGTAGGTATTTATCGCATTGAACAAAATAACTTCCAATATGAAGTAACCAATAATGACCTATCTGTCATCCCTAAAATTTCTTGAGTTTGCAGAATTCTTTATCCCAGGAGTGACACTTATCTGACCAGTGGTATTTAAGAAACACAGTCATGTGTTATAGCTCTATAGAAAGAGGTTTAAGTCTTTTTGGTCTTAGTAATTAGTATTTGCCTCTGAACCCCAATATCTCTCAAAAATAAAAACAGGAAATTAATTCTTCTTAATAGTAGAACAGTTAAGAAAGATAAAAACAGTGCTTTTAACAATGTAACTCTTCCATAGTAATAACATACAATAACAATCATCATTTTGAACTGTTAAGCTATAATATTCTGTTCAAAATAGGTAGCTCCCAAATGTATTTTTCAATTACTATAGCATTTTTCTGTCTTTTTTGTTGTTGTTGCTGTTTTGTTTTGGTTGTTTGCTTGTTTGTTAGTTTTAGTTTTTAGTTTTACCTAAAAATAAGAAAAAAGTCCAAGTAGCACAATCAGAAACTTCACTGGATACACATCTTAAAATATTGGAAAATACTACTAAGAAAATCCACAAGTTTGTGTATGTTAGGAATTTAAAACATCTATTATTTTTAACTGTAATATTTTGGATCATAGATTACTGAATTATTTGAAACTTCCTACATCAACTCTTCATAGATGAACGAGAAGTATTACTCAAATATATTAAGATAAAATTATGGTTTATTCTCTCTTTATTCCTAAAAAATGTAATAATGAAATTTAAAACTCCATAAGTTGGAACAAATTTAGGATATATAAGTAGATATGACAAATGAAGACAACAAATGGAGAAAAGACAAAGTAGGAATGACCTACAGCCAAAAATGAGGTTAGTGTACAACATGCTATAAATATGTGTTTGCTTATTAGAATTGCCAATAGTCAAAAGAAAATACCTACAATCCACTTATTTGTCATGATTTCTTATCTAAATAACAAATGGGAACCTCTTGTTTAGGAAGAGCACAAAAATTCCCAAAACTAAGATGTTGAGAACGTGCCCTGATGTGTGACTAAGTGAGAAACTTCTTTATTGTGCATTGAACAATCTCCTCAGTGGCAGTTTGAGGATCAGCAATGGTTTAATTTTTCAAGCAATTCAAAATTCTCTGATAAAAGTTAATATCATAATTCTGATGTGAATTATGTATTAGTACTCCTATAAGTCAGAAAAAAGTATAACACCCTCTTTATAATCCACAACAGAAATGGATATAGATAATAGGTAGTCTGCATCCCATATGTTTCAGTCACAGATTTCTTAGATGTTAGAACATATGAGCCAGGCTTGGTGGGATACACCTGTAATCCAAGCATTGGGAAGGCTGAAGCAAAAGAAATAGTTGCCCTACATTTGAGGCCACACTGCACTCTATAGAGAGTTCTGGGCCAGTTTGGGGGCCAGACTTAGACCCTTTCTCAAACAGGAAGAGATAAATGGAGAGAGGGAAGAAAGGTGGGAAGGGAGGGAGGGAGGAAGGAAGGAAGGAAGGAAGGAAGGAAGGAAGGAAGGAAGGAAGGAAGGAAGGGAAGAGGAAGGAAACAGAGAGGAAGGGCACATTTCTGGAATGCAGCACCCAGAGCCTTTGTAATACAGTTGAATTTAGGATTGTGTTTTCTTCCTTTCAAAATTGAAAGAATTTAAGATCTTAAAACATGTTTTGAGAAGTAATCTATTTCTTAGCATTTATATGCATATACATGATCACAAATAAGTAGTACCTGTGTATGTATGTTTTCCCCCAGGCTTTACCTATTTCTACAAAGGAAAGGAGTATTGGAAATTCAACAACCAGATACTCAAAGTAGAACCTGGGTATCCAAGATCCATCCTCAAGGATTTTATGGGCTGTGATGGACCAACAGACCGAGATAAAGAAGGACTCAGCCCACCAGATGATGTAGACATTGTCATCAAACTGGACAACACAGCCAGCACTGTGAAAGCCATAGCTATTGTCATTCCCTGCATCTTGGCCTTATGCCTCCTTGTATTGGTTTACACTGTGTTCCAGTTCAAGAGGAAAGGAACACCCCGCCACATACTGTACTGTAAACGCTCTATGCAAGAGTGGGTGTGATGTAGGGATTTCTTTTTTCTTTCTTTTCCAGGAGTTTGTGGTACCTTGAGATTCAAGACAAGAGCTGTTATGCTGTTTCCTAGCTAGGAGCAGGCTTGTGGCAGCCTGAATCGGGGCTGACCTTCCAAACCTAGAGGGTTGCTGGTCCTGCACATGAGTGGAAATACATTCATGGAGAATCTTCCATGATGCTCAGTATCTGCCGTTCTTCAGTCCTCTGTCTTTCTTTGTCATTCAGTTCTAGGCCTTTCCTCTGCACGCTCAATGCCCAGTAAAATTTCAGGATTAACTGCAGAAGAGGAAAAACAGAAGAAAAGGTTCTTCTTAAGTTTTTAAAAATACTTTTCCTTCTGAAATCTGAGCCCATTTCTGGGAGAGAGAGAGAGAGATAAAGAGAGAGAGAAAAAAAAAACAAAAAGAGCAAATCAGAAAACCCATAGGTTTTTGCTTTAAAGCAAAAGAAGAAAGAGTTTAAAAACAACAAAAATCCACAATTGAACTTTCAGGAAAGTGTGAAGACCCAAAACAGCTTTGTCTCCAAAGAAGATAGCTCTGTGACCACTATGGATAGTCTCCTGCACATCGTTTTTTTCAGGTGGGAGATCTTGAACAGACATGCAGGACTCTAGACTGTTGGGACAGCCATTTTCCAACAAACAAGGGGCCAAAATATCTGCAATATAGTAACAGCCTTAATAATACATGCATTTTTCGTTTTCTACAGCTGTTCTCAGCTTTGTCCACAACGTTTCATCACCTCCATACTCATAGCTGTTTTCAAACAGGACCTTTTGATTGTTTTGAAATGTTTCTGCACCCCCTCTTGCCTCCTGACCCAACACCATTGTGATGTTCCTGCCAGTTGTGTTAGGCCTTTGTCCCAGGCCTTCCATTGGTCTGTCAGCAATACTCAGCAGAAAGCAGAGCAAGAAGCGTGTGTCTCTGAAGTAATTAAGTGATGGTTATTTTATAAAGACATGGGACTCTGTGCATACATCGGTGTAACCCTTTGAGAACTATCAGACCAGGCTACAGAGTCAGGTTGATCAGTCTTGCAGTCTGATCATTGGTAGAACTGGCCAACAGTGAAAGCCATCACAGGTTCAACAAGTTCAGATTTGTAAAGTATACCTTAAATCCCATGTAATTCTTTAATGACTGACAGCAACCCATAAATGGTTTTATAACAAACAACAGTGATGTGACTTGCCAAAATTTTTCTGGCAAATAAAAAGAGATATTTTGTTAACAGTATCTTATGAGAGTGAAATTTTATTTGGATAATTGGTTAGAACAATCTAAGCCTTTTCTCCTTCAGACATACTGAATTTTTTTTTATTTAAAATCCATTGCATGAAAATTCAATTTGCCATAAAATATGCAGTTAGCATTGTGGGGTTAAAAAGGAATTAAAACAATGACTCTGAGTTTGCATGAATATCTTCCAATGCATTAACAATTGCATGTCAGCCATAGTTCTCAAAGGGTTGGTGTGGCTTCTGGCATTTAGCCATCCATTTGATCACTGACAGAGCCAAGAGACACCAAAGCATTCCATTGTTGAGTGTCATTTGTCCTAACAGCAGTATTGTCATTTTCATGTGACCTGCAGAGCAGGTTTGTATCAATATTTTTTTCCTAGAGAAAAGTCAGCAACTGACAGACCTCTATTGATTTTAGGAGCTGCTTCTTGCAGTGAAAGGCTTTGCAGCCACGGGGCTGTGAACTTATTAGAGATGGTCAGAAAGAAAGCACCCCGTGAGTCAGACAACTGGCTTTGTGTGAAAGCCAGCTTTGGAGGGGATTAGCTTTTGAAACAATGAACAGCTTGCCTTGAATTTGATATTGATCTGTTGACTGTCATTAACAACTTAAACATTGTCTTCTGTGAAAAATTTCCCTGAAGAGTCCTGTTCTGTGTCTTTGCCCTTTGACCTTTAACTTGCAAACTGGCACAAACTGAAGGAAATCTGGTGTCACTGCTCCAAAACCTAGTAAGCAAGAGCTGTTTCCTTAGAGTGAAGAGAGAGTTTGGGTATTGGATCTGCAGGTGGACGCTTTGCTCTCTACATGCACACTCTGAATATGCCCTATAGGTAGAGGTATTTTTTAATTTTCTTCTTTAATTTCAAGCTTAATTTCATCATTTTAGTAAAAATTACAAAAAAACATAGGAAAAAAAAACCTCAAATACTTGAATGGCCAGTGTGGCTTTTATATAAAGCAGGAATTTTATACTAGTGAAAATTTCTTACTCATTTGCTAATAATACACATTTCCAGATGATTTTTAATGAGTGTAGGTATACATTCTTATTTGGAAATGGATAGTTTGGCTGCCTTGAATTTATATTTATACTCAACATAGCATGAAAATTAGAATGCCTTTTGGTTAAACTACATGTTTATGATTTGGTTGGGGAAAATATTTTCTAATCATGGGTGGCATGCTGAAAAGCCTTGAAAACTGGTGTTTCCTACAATCTGAGCATATATCATGTAAGGCTAAGTCAAAATGAACAGTTAGGAAAGAGGAATGGCTTCGTAGCACCACATTATGAAATGTAGATTGTACTTCAACAGGACATCAAAGATTTTGAATGTGAGGGCCAATAAGAAAGGGGAGGGCAAGGATCAGCCCTGTATTTCTACTTCAAGAACTTCCTTTCTAGATGATGCTAATATTATAGTTAGTTCCTACAGAGCATGGAGGACTGTATACATAAGCCTGTTTATACAGTGTTTGCTTGTTAGAGGGTTTAATCCTTTCAGGACCTTGATGTCAAGGAAAAAATGACTGGAAACTCTTCTTTTCTAATGATAGAAGTGAGGAGCTGTAACATTTTGGGACATGTGCAAATCATTGAGAAACTCCATCAATGTACATTGAACTTTTTTTCTCTCTAAAATCAAAAAGAATTTTAATAAGCAATCTATTGCGTCTTTACTCATTCATCACAGTACAAGACTGTAAGTACCTAAGGGCTAGAAAATAATCATAGCATTGAAAAGGAAGGAATCTTCAATATGCTTGAATTATAACAAACATCGTGGATATGATTTGGGTTGTGTTGCCTTGAATATGAGAAGTCTATGTATTTAAAAAAAAGGCTTATATGTCTACTATCTTGACTAAGACATTTATAAGACCACAAATGATAAGAACTAAATACAATGTAATAAAAATCACTGGGGTTCCTTTGTTCATTGTGTGCCAGGCACTTCATTCATATGGTGACTCTTCTTACACTTGGGATTTGTTTAGAAAGGAAAACAAAAGAAAAGAAAAATATGGCAACGCTTAAGAAAGCATGAAAATGAAAATGATTAATTAATCCAGCATATGAAAATAGCAATTTAAATTTAAAAAAGGAAGTTCTCTGGATGAGGAACATAATGTCAGCTCAATATTTGTGAAGACATGGAACCAATCAAGTTTTTCCTGTCATCTCTAAATAAGTAACAAGAAAAGCTCAGACCTACTATTTCCAAAACTGAAATGAAAACATATTCATGTTCATAAAATAATTCATCTGTTTCATTTTTTATTACTTTACCAAATATTGAAGATAACTGTAAACAAGGTAATGGTTTTACCTAAAATAAATTTATAGTTTATAATTTCAGATAAATATTGTTTCTCTATATATTATTAATCAGACTAAGTAAAATATTAAGATGAGTGATCAGTTTGAATTTTCTATAAAGCAGTAGTTCTGCATCAATCCTGTAGAGAAAGTTGTGATTTTAGGTACCTGCTAACCCATCTGAGAACCAAGTTTGCTGCAGAGACGGCGACCACAGCAGGTGAAGACAGATGTTCTCTGACATAGCAGAGGTTACAGAGCTCAATTAGAGGATAATAGGCACTACTGGCAAATGTAGTTTCCATTCCTAACCAGAGAGCAATGCTTTTCTCAACCAAATGTAATAAAGTACTAAGTAATAATCACCAAAAGACAATTACTAAGTATTAAAAGATAGAGACAGCTTCACTGAAATAAGAAAATGTTTGTGACTCGAGCTGCCTACAGTCTCTTTTATCAACACATAATTTGGCTTTTCAAATACTGTACATTTACTTTATTTCATTTCTGTGAATGATTACAATGCAATGTACTGGATATAAGAGCATTGCCTAGATTCTACTGCTCAGTGTGATATCTGAATAAGAGTGTATATACTGGATCCTAGGAAGAGTAATGTAATAGTCTCAAGTTCTCCATGTTGTGTTGATATCTCTAATATGGCACAAATTCAGATTCTTGTTATGTGGACCTTACAATTGAGTAACTGGTGCGCCCATATTAATTGATCTCAATGTGCTATCTGAAGAAGAATAGATGTTATACTTGAATAGAAATGTTAAACAAAAGTCATGAAAATAACCAATTTTTTAGGTATTTGGTATTTATTTCCAGAAACAAATAAAGGCAGTGATTTGATGATAGTTTTGAGTCTGTGAGATTGTAGTATATAATGAAATAAGCCTGGGGATGGTGAGGAAATATTTACAGTAATCACAGCAAAATGTTTAATTCTTGATACCTTAAAGATCATATTCCAAGATATCATAGACACAACATACCATTTAAACCACAAGTGTGACATTCAGATGACCTATGGCAAAGAGCTATAAATACAATCTTCACTAATCTATGATACCACAGAAGAGGTCAAGGAACTCATAGGGTAGAATCTAGGCATTCCTTCCAAAGGCAATCACCTCCCCAATATTGATGTATAACAACCCCAGGAAACAAGTGCCAGAGTCTAATGACAGGTTTCCTGATGCCAGAGTGGAAAGGATAGCTATATTGTATAGTTGAAACAAGTCCCTTTTCAAGGCTGAACTTAGCAAAATAAACTAACAACCAGGGATAGTACCACACCATTAATATGAAAGCTTTATTTTATAAGTAGAATGAGCAATGGAGAAGGACAAAACCAATCTTTTATAAAATATAAAGTCATACTCTAGCAATCTGTAATATTACAACTGGAAGTTTTACTTTAGCAAGAACAAAAATAATAGAGAAAAATGAAACTTCAAGCTCTTCACACCAGTGATGAGTATGTTATTTATCAATGTATATACTTAGTCAGTGCTCATTAGATGTGAACCATGTAAATGCATCTGATACTTATCCATTGCCTCATAAACCCAAAATGTTAAAAATATGCATTCAGTAACCCCAGTCAGAGAGATGTTAGAACCCTGTGAGAAAAGCCATTTCTCTAGGATAGAAATTTACCTCAATAATCATAGAACACAAAACATGTGGCATAGTAGCAAAAGTTGCCTTAGTGTTCTAGTCTGATCTAATTGTAGACGTTGTCTATAATGCACCACTGACATCGTTTCTCATGTCTTTCTATTGGTCTAAGTTTGAGTTGATTTTTAAGTATTTCAGGTAAGGTTAATAACATCTAATTATCTATATCTCCTTCAACATGTCTACTCTGACATATAATTCAATAGTATAGAAAGCCTAGAATGAATACTGACTTGACATATTCACAGAAATTCAGAGAAAATTACTGGTGATATTTCAAAATTCCCATCTATTTTCTGGTAGGATCCAGAAGCAGCAGCTTTCAGTGTTGGAACATGGCTATGAACTGATGACAAAACATGACATACATCATTTCTTTAAAATAATCTAGTATTTATAGTAAGCAGTGATAGAAGACTATGAGAAGTTTAGTGATGTAACAAAGGCTTCACAGGCATTGGTAGTGAATGCTTTTTAAAGAAAATGGGGCAAAATCAGTACTTGTGATCAGTACATTGTAAGCATTAGAAGCTATATATGGAGGACATTCGTATATGGAGAGATCTGAGATTCTCTGCCGTTCAACTGAAAAAGCAGTGTGTCTTGGAATTTTTCTTATATTAACATAATGATATTATTCAGATGTGTGCTCGACGTGTCCTTCCATGAAAGGGAATGCCGGGCTCTGCAGGAAAACATATCACAAGCTGGAGTGTTGTGCTGATTCACGTGACATTGCCATATGCTCTGCTACAGAGCTGGATAGTTATGCCCTTAAGAAGGGAAGAAAATATCAAATATAAATATAACTCTTTCCAATTCTGCCACTTAGCTTCAAAGTAAGATATCACTAACTTTTATTTCACTGAGAAAATGGAAAGAAAGAATGGTAAGCAAGAATAAAACAAACAAACAACAAAATTTCAGCTGACAAAGACATTTTCTACAGTTTCCTTCACCTGCTTTTGTTCATGGGAGAAAAAATTTTTTCCATATATATATATGAGTTGCATATAGACTTCTTTCTAGCACTTGATATGTAGCTAGATTGGATCACAAGCATAGTATTTTAACACAGGCCTTTGATACATGCCTCATACATTATGTAGCTCTGGTGAGGTATGACATGAAAGGATGCTTTTCCCTAGGATAGGCTACGGTGCTGCTTGTACTTGCCATATTTGTATGACTGTGTGTTGCTTTGTTGGTCTGTCTTGCCAGGATACCGATGAATAAAGCCTTGTGTAAATTGTCTATTTGAAGTCACTAGAATGCATGTTTGCTCTCATGTGATACCTTTGGATTTCATTCCCTTTCTGTATACTAATAGGCCACTTGTTAGTATAAAACATACTTTGAATGAATCGTTTCAGTAGTAATACAGGGGTTTTCTAATATAATAATTTTTACTGCTCTGAAATAACATTATCACCTCACTTCTTGCTCCTTGTGAATTCCATTTCCTATGTAAAATTAGGAATTTATGTTGGATCATCATTTCCTTCTTATATATGACATGAAATCCATTATTCCTTTCTGTACTCATGAATCCAAATTCTCACAGTCAACCAAACATGTATTCCAATCAAGAGTGAGTGATCATCATCATTTTCCACCCCGCTTCTGTGATCGTTATTTGATTCCTTTCAGAAAGTCACCAATTTTTCCACCCCAATTTTGTTATTTTTTAAATCAGATTTTATTTCCTTTCTGTTTGTGAAAATGAGAACTTAGCAGCACATAGGTGAAACCCTGGAGATGTGTCTTTGTTTCCCAGAATTTTCCAACAAATGTTACATGTAAAACACAGTCCTTATCACATCCCAAACTCTTTCATTGGCATATATTTTTATAGAGCTCTTCCCCTGAAAAAAAAGTGAAATGCTGAGTATAATTGCTGTTGTCTGATGATAAGACAGCAATGAGAATTTATTTTGGGAGAATGTATCAAATATAAATATAAAGTATGGTAAATATCACAATGTAGTGTTTAAGTACATCAGGAGGAAATGCATGCCTACATCCTAGAATCTTTGGGATATTTCCCCTTAGTGGTAAATTACAGATATATGAAAGAGATAGAATAAAAGAATAATGTATATTACAGCAGTGGTTTCTGCTGCATTGGTTTTGACTGTATCAGCATTTCTATTGTGGACCTCTATTTTCAGGGGATTTAGAGACTTGGCCATAAAAATTTGCTTCAAGTATAAAAGTCTTTAAAGATTTTTTTCTTACATGTATCTAATTTTAATCAAATATATTTTGGTTTTATATTATTAAAAGTAAATTGATGAAGTTTACTAGTTTAATTTTGTGCTAATATCAACTAAATAAGCTTAATTTTTAATAAAAACAAAATATAATCAGTTCATAGTCTAATTTTTTAAACAAATCAAGTATTGTTGACATTGAGAAATTTACCTGCTTCACCAGTGTGGTATTTATCTTCAAGATGTTTTAAGACTTCAATACCTATTGTTATCTTGATTCTAATAGTGGATCAGTATAACTGACAATGAATATAGATATGTGATATCTATATAAGCTATCTTATAACATATATTTGGGAATATATAGTATATGATATATGTGTGTATATATAATACATATATATTCACTAGACAGATTAAAAGAAAGACGATTCCATCAATTATTAAATAAATACCATATATTTTCTCAAATACTTTTACAGACATTTAGCTTTCAGAGTCCAAATGAGATATAAGCAATCACAGAAGGAAGTTGTCTTCTAGGCGAACAACAAGTGCTTTACAGCTTCCCGTGAAAATCACCTTTCATTTATATAGTATGGATATTACGAATTAAAACATTGAAAGTAAAGCAGGATTTATTAAACAACAATAGACTGTGAAGCAGAGAGAAAGGCCAGGAAGTTATGATTTTAGATAGTTGTCTTGTGGTTATCTGTACCTTAGCTTTTACTTTATTCCTTATGATGTTTTCAGTTACAGAGAGTATGAAGCTATAACTGTGAGTTTCTGAGTTTCTTTCATTGTACTTACACTACATTATCTCACTAAGGTTTTGATAACATGTACTTTTCTGTGTACAAGGCATGAAATAACAGATTTATTTTCTCAGTGGATTTTAAGAGTTGAATGTTACAGTTTTGCCCACACAGGATTATATAAATTTATTCCATCTTAAATTTGGCATATATATATATATATATATATATATATATATATATATATATATATATATTTTCCCGATTGCTTCTACTGACAAACACAAAGCTTGTTTGTGTGCAAATAAAAGGCTAAATAAATGGTGCTAAAGTGTATTATGACTGTCAGATATAATCAGGCAAAATTTTGTGGTGCTTCAATTAATTTTTCATTGATTTTATTGACCAGTGTGTTGAACGGTGTTTATTCACAAATTGTCTTTTATTAGTAAAATTAAGGCTTCATAGCACATTATTAATAAAGTGGTTGCCTAGTTTGTGTAATAGCTAGCTCACCAAGCTATTATCTCCTTGACTCCTTATAATGAGGCCTCATTAAAGGTCAAGGGTCATGCTATTAATCTCATTCTAAAGATCAGTAACATGACTGAATATTTTCACAAGGTACTTATGTTTACAATGCTATAACCCTTTGACCGCTGTGGCAACCTTAACCATACAAATGTCACAAGCTAGAATCATCAGCATGGTTTTTGCCATGGCAATCAAAGAGTTAAGGGCTGTGCAGTTATTTGTTTTGTATTTATTAATTTATATTTATTTCATTTCCATTCAAGAAGGGGTTTGGATGGGGCAGTGTTTGTCTGCTGTAAGTGTCTTAACCTAGGGGAAGGTTAAATGGCTTTTTATACTGTTGCATCTTCTGTATTTACCATCGATTCATTGTGTTGTAATTTTAAAAAACTGTCAATAAATAAGAAAACCGAAAATCGTTCATAGACATTGTGGTTTTAGTCATGATTTGCTTCCATTTATGACCAGATGTAGAATATGACTGAGAGCATTAGTCTTTACTGTCTTTGGCTTCGTAATTAAGAAACAGCAATCGAAAATGATGGGGTAATATACAAAAAAGTTTCTTGTGTCTTTTCCTGAATTAGCAAGTATATTTTACTAGCCCTATCAGTTGGAGAATTGCTTAACAGCTAACAATATGCAAACAATTGTGATCAAGGAGAGGAGCCAAAAATTCTACTGCACCACATGTACTTCAGGCGAGTGGCCATGAGCACAGACGTGGCTTTTATGAGACTTGAGACATATGAAAAATAACTATTTAGAGAAGTAAGTGTAAACTATCATTTAAAGTTGTACACCAACCCTGATTAAGTAAATTGAATTAAATTTTGTTTTATGTTTTATATCGAGTCTCTTGCAGAATTTCATTTGCAGAACCCTCCCTTTTTTTTCTTGTTGCTGGGATCTGAACCCAGGGCTGTGCATGATGAGAGTTCACTTGGTCCTCTTTCTTTTAGTAATCATATTATAGTAAAGAAAGAGCATCAACCAACTTCAAGAAATAAAACTAAGGGTAAAACTCTTTTGTATTTAGCATTTGGATAAATTAAGAGTCAGCTAAATATCATTCGGAAAATAGTCAATAGCTCTATTTAAAAATGACAAACTAAGAGAGCATTTTTTAAAATCAGTTCTTGCATGTATCAGTAATCTCCGAATCCTAAGAGCCATCTGAATTTTACAAAGAATAACAAATTGTATTGGGAGTAAAGCAAAAAGACATTCCCTCATACAAAAATCTGCCCCCCTGTGTACCAAGAAATTAATCATATCCATCCATACAAACACATAGAGGAAGAAAATGAAAGAGAAGGAGAGGGAAGAAAGATCCCACGATTGGCCTTGCACTTTACACCCTCCTGCCTTAGCCTCCTGCTACTGGACTAATAGTCATATCTCACCATGACCAGCCTAACTTTATGTATTGTAATCCACATGTAAACAAGGATCTGGAGACAAGTGAACTACGATGGTCATGGGAGATCAATTGCCTAAAAAAGTATGTGAGAGGCAGAGCTGTTTCTGTTCTGTTGCTGAGCATTTGTCCTAGGGCCAATCCAAAGAATGGAGAGAACTATCAAAAGTTTAAGTAGAAGGGGAGCAAAGGAAGCTAGAGCCACGGTTACTGTTCAGGCATGAAAGTGTAATTCCCCTTGGGTTGACAGCTCCTGTTTGGGCACGTGTCCTTTCTTAATACTCATAGTAAAATTTGGGCCAAAGACCCTTTTTAAGAAACTCCAACTTTGCTCCATGTATCATCAGTGAAAAGAAGCATTGCTGCGCTTTGAGGGCATGCCAAAGCATGTGCAAACTTTAGACTACCAGCCATATTTGTAGTTGTAGATGGTTTTTAAGCAAATACAATTTTAATCAAGTAATTAAAGCTGGTAAGCCATCAATATCAGAGTGAACTTGAGAGAAAATCTGTACTGTTCTTGTTGTAACAGAAGAGAGACAAGCTGAAAATGTCAGTCTGACCCACTAACAAGTTTATTTTTCTTATCTACGTGAATTTGTACATCAATAAGTATCTAATAGATTCATGTGAAGTATAGGTTTGTGCACACATGCCTGAGTATTTTTCACTAAAATCCAGGCTACAGTTTGATAATCTTTCTTGAAGAAGAAAAATCCAGACAATGTTATAAAGTATCTACTAACATGCCTAGCACATTGTAAGAGTGCTTTTATGAAGATGACATATGTTTTCATAGTTGAAGTCTCTTTTTAAAAACTAAATTACATGATTCAAGTCATGTTAATGTTTTCTGCTACATTCACATCATAGTTACTCTAGTTTACCAGCAGCACCTCACAACCGACTTCCCCCCTCCCATCAATTCCTTTCCCCTCCCTTTCCTCCTCTTCCCTTATTCTAATCCTTGAAAGAAATTATGTATTTAATTATTCCCTTCTTATAATCTTTCTGTCTTCTTAAGCTCCTCACTAGGCCCATTTATTCTAACATACGTGAACTTTTTATTATTAAGATGGCTGTTTCTTATTTCCTACCCCATTTGGCTTACTCACTGTATTTAAGACTAATTACATTGCCACTAGTACTTTTTCTAGACAGCTCCTGGGTAGTAGTGTAAGCCTGCGTATATATCACTTAGTTCTTCCACCCCAGGTCTCACTGCTGTGCTGGTCCATAATCAATGAACATCAGATGTTGGACTCTAGACATTAGCATCCACTCTTCGAAAATGGGTAACTTTTGGAACTAAACATTATTAATTTATTCAAGTCTATTCAAATATTCTTTTTTTTTTTTCCAAGACAGGGTTTCTCTGTGTAGCTTTGCGCCTTTCCTGGAGCTCACTTGGTAGCCCAGGCTGGCCTCGAACTCACAAAGATCCACCTGCCTCTGCCTCCCAAGTGCTGGGATTAAAGGCATGTGCCACCATGCCCGGCTCTCAAATATTCTTGATCTTTATTTTGCACTCTCTCTGGGGCTTCAGGTTTATAATGTGTGGTAAAATCCACATTCACACTTTCCACATTTGCTGAACTAATTAAGTTTAATTTTTCCTTTCCTTGCATTCAACCACTGGATAGAAAAATCATCACTGTCTTTTTCTTGCTTTCAAGAGATACATTTCTTAAATTTTCTCATTTTATTTGTTGTATTAGGTAATTTTTGTTACCTGTCCATCAAATCTTGATTGTCTTGGGTCTCCCTCACCCCTGTTACACCTGTCTTCATAAACACTCACCAGCACAATAATTTACTTGCACAGTATCTCTGACATCCTATTCCTCTTTGATATCTTTATCCTACATCTTCTTGCCTATCTAGGTCTTTCTTTCCCAGCCTGCCTTGCTTTCTGGCACAAGTATCTTCCCTCACTAGACTCTAAGTTATAGAACTGCACTATCAGAAATGAATAATCCTTTAAATATTTAAAAGTATTTGGTTGTGTGTGGGAGGATGTTCATGAATGTGGAGGCCAGAGGTGTCCTTCTCTGCCCTCTTGCCCTTCTTCTCTTATGTCCAGGGCTGTCATTGAGCCAGTTGTTAGGTTAGCAATCATGGCCTCAGCTCTCTGCTACTCACAGTGTAGCTGTGCCCAGCTTTTTACTTAAATTTGGAATATCTGAGCTCAGATCCTCAATTGTGCATAGCAAGAACTCTTACCCACCAAGCTTTTTCCCCAGCCCCAAGAACAAGGATTTTATATGTGTGCTCTCCAAAATCTATTCTCTACTTGTCTTTCCAGATTTTCTACCAGTAAAGACTGTTGTACCTAAAACCTTCTTCATATTTGCCATTTCCTGTGTGCTATTTTGTTTTTGTAATGCATTTGTATCCACTTTGAATACCAGCTTCATTGTCATTATTTTCCCTGACCTAAGTACACAAAACCCATGTCCCTTTGAAATCCTGCATTTCCATTGTATTTCACCTAGGGCAATCACAGGATAATTAATAGCTCATCCTTCTCACTTCAAAGGTTTTCTGGTGTTATAATAAGCTGTATAACCGTAGTCTTATGCAAATGTTGGATAAGGATTATATTGCATGTGAGCTTATTTTTCTTGCTCCTTGTTAACATCTATTTTCTAGGAACTGTGCCGTCCTCACTGTGGTGATTTAATTTCTGCTTCGTTCCCGCTGCAGTGTCCACTACAATGCCTGTTTGTAAAGGAAGAGCTCAAGAAACATGTGTTGCCCTAAATCAAATAATAGTTTTAAAATAATAAGAATTACAGAAATATTATTTGGCTTTGTTATCCATTCCCTAATTCATCTGAATAATTTTATGAATAAAGATATTAAAATAACTTATTTCTAACATCAATCATTTAAGTACTTGACCTTGTTTCTCTCTAAAACTTTATTTTCCAAAGCTCTTAAATTGTTTCTTATTAAGCCATAAGGTACACCTGTAATATAAGCTAAATTTTATATGCTTTTCTTATTTCTGTTGGTCACTTTTAAGAAATGAGAACATTTTTCAGTTATTATATTCTGGTGAAGTTAGAAGACCTGTGTCTTGGAGGTACTCACAGGTACAGCAAATATAAGGACAATATCCAAAAAGTAAATCCTTCCTTAAATCTGTGCATAAGTATCAAAGAAGAAGTTGCTAGTTAACTTAATATGTTGTGACAAGAGAGTCCTCCCTATGAGGAACTAGCAGGAACTTTTGGGGTCATTTTGCCTATTCAGCGGGAAATATAATCTTAAGTATCGTGGAACAATGGGACAGGATATCAAATACTGTGTTGATCTGAAAGCAACTAGGATGTTGTTGAGAGAGGTGCTCAGAAATAAAAAAGAAGCCAAGTTCGGAATAAAAGAGAACAGATAAACCGCTCAAAGACAAGAAAAGAAATTGTTTTCAAAACCGTTTGTTACTTTGAACAGCTTTTGAGCTACCATTCCTATGACTGCTGTCCTCCGTGAAGACTTTATTGATGTTAGATGGCGTGGGGCAGACAGCTAAAATTTTAGGTCAAATGGTGGATCAAACATAGAAACATAATTTCCTGACCTTCAGAGACTTCCTAAACCTCAGAAAATAGATATTTTTTTTCAAAGACCTAAGAAATGAGAGTACAAGAAAGGTGATAATAGCATTATTTGGGAACTAGGGGAAAAGTGGAAATCCAACGACTAGATTAATAGACCCAAGGAAACGGAGTGCTAAACAAACAGAGAACATGTTTCTCTGAAAGCAGGAAGAAGGCAGTTGACTAAATTCAAACAGGAAAGCAACCCAGTGCTCAAGACCCCATCTAGGACTTCCTGCTTCTAGCAAACTCTTCTCTGCAGCTGAAAAGTCTGCTTTCTTGCATGGAAAGGGTAGAATTCTGAAATAAGGAATGTTAGAGTTCTGCACTAAGACAAAGGAAAAATGAATCTTTTCTTTCACCTCACCATAGGCAGCTCAGCAGAAAGGATTTATTTTTTTGATTAT